TAAAAGAGCTAATTTTGAATTCTTGTAATTCCTTTCATTCAGTTGCCAACACAATCATCAGTTGCTAGTATGGCAGCACCATCACCGATGTTCGCTTTTTATGATATGGGTGGCAAACGAGCATACTGGGTATGTTCACCATACTATAGCAGTTATGATTCGCCTATGGTTCTCTTTACAAAAAAATACTTACTTTCTATAACACATTTTTAAAATTTTATGAATTAAATATCTAAATTGTACATATTTTTTTTATACAGATACTATTTTTTTTAGTTAGTTTTAATACTAAGGACAGTAGAAAAATATAGGTCGATGTAAAATGTCTGAATGCCTTTGTACTTTCATTATTTGTTCAATTATTTTACTGTATTATTGAGTCACTAAACTTATTATTTTACTGAAATGCTTGGACTTAATAAAAAGAAAAAAACTCTACTCTCTCTCAAATGTGCAATGCCTGCAAAAAGCTACCCTAAGTTGGGAGAAATTGTTACTGCTGGACTTGGTTGGAAAATACAGATTGATTTGATTTGATTTCTTTCTTTTATTAGAATTTTTGAAGTTTTGTCGTAGCAATAAGTGTTATTTTACCACATCAAAGACGTTATGATATTCTTAGATATCTACAATAGGTATTTGGAGTAAAAAATACAACATAATATGTTTAAGTACCAACATAAAGTAGGGGTCACGTTACGCTTCGGTTAGCGGAGGACGACTAGTACCGTGAGAAAGTTCTTCTAAACATTATGTTGATATTAACATGGCAGTTTGAAAAGTCCGTGTTACTACCTCATTCAAAATCGGTAGCAGTTTATAGGAGAAACGGTTAATCACTTCAGTCATCAATCATCATCAACAGCCTTTAATAGTCCACTGCTGGACATAGGCCTCTTCTTAGAAAGGAGGTTTTGGCCTACTATACCACGCAGGCCAGACGGGTTGGTATAGGGTTTGTGTCAAGTTTTCCTTCTCTTTGTAGTGCTGTTGTCCTGCAGAGTTTGCTCCCTTAGACGGCTCTTACGACGCCCACGGGATGAATACACTCCGTATTCTTAATCCGTCACCATCACTTCAGTATTTCGGAGATACTGACACTTTCAGTTGTTCTGTCTTCATCCCACCGAACCTCATTCTATTCTTATATCATCCTAAATGCTTATTCCGTACTCATCCCACTTTTAAAATCAATTTGTTATTATAAACGCAGCCCAATTTCTATTCTTAAATCATCTTGACGCAACAAGTCCTGAACAAGTATGGATAGCACAATCATGCAATGGTGGACCTTTATCAGGAGGTAAAACGACCTTCCATGTCGGTGTCAATCACTGTACTCCCCCGTAAAAGTATTTATTATTTATAAACTCAAACTCAAAATATATTTATTTCGAACATGAAATCGTCTCATACGTGGACTCTAAAGTCAGATCTATGGCTTGACTATAACACACACAATAGCAACAATCATCAACAAGATTGAGGAGGATATTCGAGATTTAAAAAAGGGTTGACGCAACTAGGAGCATTTCAATAACCTCTATCAGTGAAACAGAAAAAGAAGTGCTTAACACCAGTTTTCTGTGGGGCCGTGGTGTGTCAGAGTGCCGAAGAATACTCACTCACTCATAGGAGCCTTATTCCTTTTTTAAATCGATAAATGTATTGTTATCGTTATACCTACTGCTTAAAAATGTTATAGGTTAGTTAACTTCTATAGGTAAATACTAAATTTAAATGTGTGTTATCGCGTGCAACTAAAAGTACCTAAGTAATAATATGCATTTCTACCGTTAAATTACAGTCCTAATACACTCTACGGAAGCTTTTAAATCAATCTTGTGACGTTGGCCGCCATAATGTTCACTAAATTAATAATGTATTGTAGTTCAATATATGTACATATATGGAGGATATATTTTGGTCGGCGGTCGTATTTTTTTTTTTTTAGATTTGGTATATTCTTTTTTATTTGGGAGGGTATACCCCTTAATGTGATAGTTTGGATGGATTTTTGTCACTCAATCACGATAAAACGGCTGAACAGAGCTGGGTGTAATTTGGTACCCTACAGGTAAAAAATAAATTAAAAAGAAGAAATAATTACTAAGAAACCAACATTATTCTTACAAAATGTATATAATCTTGTTACTAAACCAACAAGTTGATCAGATTTAAAGGCTAACTGTATTTCCTCCCGAAATAAACTTGGAGTCGTTCAAAATTTAATAGCAATAGTAAAATCTAACAATGGTCCTAATTCTGTTGCTATTGCTGTGCTAAGTCCGTAAAACTCTCTAAAGTAAACAAAATATCACTAAAAAAAAATTTGTCATGTCAAATATTACGTTTTCAGAATAGGAAACGTTGTTTGACAGAACTAAACCATTTTTTTGTGATTTTTAGTTTCGTTTAGAGAGTTTTCGAATAACAGAATAAGCACACATGCAAAAGATATCAATATTTTAGTAACGGCTATTTAACGGTCCTCGTAAGCCTGTCGCTTTATCACTTGAGCCTGCGACAATAACATCCAATAAAAAAAAGTCTGTCCATCTATTCCAGCCCTTATCCGCAGCCATCTAAAACTCGCAATATAAAGGTTTCCTTAAAACAGGTGCGCTCAACATTTTACAAAAAAAAAAAAAAAATATTTATTGGTCCATAAACTGTTGTCGACCTATCGATTAACGGTTTGTTGATATATTGACGAACTATTTTGTCGATAAGTTATTCTTTATGCGTAGTTAAGCGATGTTGGCAGTTGACTAATTGGTTTATGTTTTGCTGTATTTGCTTGTACATATTTGTCTTCAATATTGTAGTTGGCTACTTCAATTTGCAAGTGGAGAAGGACATGAATGTAAATTTAACTGATAAAAGACCTTAAAAGAAATTTCACTTAAAACAGTGGTTTAATGGCTTTATTAAATTATTTCTTACCTTTATTTATTACTTAACAAAATATGTCATTGAATAAGTAATAAAAGATGTGTAGAAAGCTTTGGTTTTTGTTAATTAGTTGATATTAACATACACTAACACATACATACATTTATTTGTATAAGTAGACAGATTCTGAAACGAGACTCGGGAAAGAAGGCTGGATGGTTAAAATTAGACCAAAGCATAATCTATATTCCAATAAGTATGTAATAAATTATGATCATTGTTGATACTCATTTAAATACTTTTTTCAAGTTAGACTATAGTATAGTACACAGAAGAAAATAAGAATAATTTAGGGTTTTTAATCTATTTCTCAACGAACCTTACCGACTTGTAATGTAAGCAAAACTAGCTGCATTCTACAAAGTTGTCGTATCTACAATACTAAATAAGAATGTAGTTGTTTTAAATATAAATTTAAATCTTGTTCTAATGTGCCAGTGCTTACTGTTGTTTTTTTTTTAATGAGACCGAATAACACAGTAGTGATGTAGCCATATTTTAACATAACCACACCGATTGTAACATATCATTTATCTGAACATCAATCGGACTTTATAAAGGGTATATCATAATAGGTGTACCACTAAATAATTATATAATTTTAAATCGAGCATCGTAACATTAACTGGTGGCCAATTATTTTAATAACAGTTCATTAAAAAAGAAATGTGCAGTAATGTCAGCTATTTTATTAGCTTATTTGCAATTTATATTATTATGCAGTTATTATTATATTTCCTTGTTATTTGAAGGGATACATTTTGTTTGTTCTATGTAACGTGTGTGATTAATCCGTAAACATGATTTAAACATGTCTGTTTTAGTTTATTTTTAAATTACTGTGTTTTATTATTGATTATGAATAAATTAATATTTCATTAATTTTATTTTTTATAACTTCATTTTTCTGCATATAATATCACGTGATATCTGTATAAGGATCAACGTACATTTATGTTAAAAAAGGGAATCCTATTTTTTATGATTCCAATGGCTCAAAGGTACCTAAATTGTCAGTAATAACTGCTTACCAACAACCGGGTAGTACACCTTTGTGCTTACTTAGTTAAATGGCAACAAAACTTAAAACTTACACACAAAAATTACATATACCTACACAAAAATACATATTAAAAGTAAAATATTAAAGTTATTAAATATTATCAATAAAACAACTTTTAACTAGAGTACTAACGACAAATTATATTTGAAAACAAAATCTTTCGAAAGAGAGCTATTCTTTATTTAAATTACTCGTTAATACAACATGATACGATAATCGATAACTTGAGTACATTTTGCAGTTAACAACACACTGCCATCGAACCACTTATGCTTCACCCATAAATTAAATACTTTATAACTAAAATGTGTACAAAAAAGCATTCATCGGCCCATCACTAACTGCCCATCTGCCAACCAATAGGTGACCAGCAAAAATAATTATAATTTAAAAACGTAGTGGGCCTTTTTTCAACAAACGATGACCTTAAAAGGAACCCATTCGATGGGTGATGTATTAAAAATTGAAATAACAACTTGCGTGCAACGACCGCGCGATAGATAACTGCGAAAAAGTAACAAAAGATGCCATGTAGGAATTGCAAATGAGATCTTATAACTATAAATTTAAAGAACTATTTCGATTAAACATTAGTGAAGCAGATGTTGTTTGAAATGAAGATTAGGGGAACTAAGGCATAAAAAGCGGTCAGCCAATCGCGTCCCATGCTCGTATGCCGTCCCACTCTAGCACCCGTCGCACCACTCTTTCTAATGCTTATATTTTTTGCCATCTTATTCTAATTGCTCATTCAAATGGCCTGCGTTCGATTCCAGGGGTCCATTACCTTTTATGTCATAGACAATTTCATTTTGAATTCTTGTTGTTTGTCAAGTTTTTACTTGAATTCATCACATGAAACATTAAATTTATATTTTTTACAATAATAATTTTATCATAGATTATGATCAATAGGTTTTATTTTTTCCATGGCTACGCGTGGTTGCGTGTGCTGCGGGCGTGATGGAACTATAGATAAACAATGTTACATGGTAATACTGTTTTTTTTTTTATTTTTTCGACAATTCTCGTCTAATTAATTTGCATGATAAATATTTCGTGATTAAATAATTACTAATAAAGGAACCATTAAAAATGTACACTTGGCTTGTAATAGTTTATATACTTTTTCCGTTGTAGTTAAAATAGAAATAAACATAATTTTCATTATAAAATAGATACTTTACAAATTTAAACCTTGCCAAAGCCTTCTTATAAGTAGGTACAAGTTGTGTCTAAGTTAACACTGTTACTGTATTTTTTTTCAAATTACATAAACAAATAAGATGCCTCTTTGACCTAAATGCCGACTAATTATTATTTAAGTTTTAAGATTTAAATTTTATTTGAAAACACCTAGTAATGATTTTTTTAAACTCATTAGAATATATCATTTAAAAGATCAAGATATTTTCATTACATTATAATACTTCAACATTTCTTCTCTTGTAATTAAAAAATGTTTGGTATTAATTGTTGTGTAGGTAAATATGTCGTATTCACATATATAATATACACAGTATAATTTTACCTATGTATACTTAAAAAAAAACTTAAAATAGGTTAGCAATAAAATTAATATCCCATAAAATACATAAATTTACAGCGCAATAGTTGGCAAGATCAAGTGCTTCGAGGTCGTACAAGATGCATTGCATCCGGTGAGTGATTGTCTATACCGAGGTTCAAACCCGTTCTCTCTGCATATGTCTGGGGAAACCTTTTGTTTTTGTAATAATATGGGCTCTTCAACTATAATGTTTGCAGTATTATTTAGCTGTCAAATTATATTTAACAAAAAACCAGATTTATACGAATTTATTTGCTGGCTGGGTTTTGTATTTTTTGAGTTAACTTAAAGATAATTTCTGAAACAACTGAACGGTTGTTTATTTTTCTCAATTCTTGTTACGTTTGATAACTCAATTCTTGAACAATGTTATAAGCTTTAACATTATGGTACGGTCCTTTGGAGCACATGAAGTAACCGTAAACGTTAGACATTTTGCTAAGAGGACCAAGTCTGTAATATATTTACATATTGTTTTAAAGACAACTCCCGCACTAGGAATAAATCCTGTGTCGCGGGGGACTTCACAAACATACATGAAACACAAAGGACCAGTGTCCACAAAGGACACCCAGACTCAGAACAACAATTTGTGGATCACACAAAGTGTCGTCCTATGTGTCGATCAAACCCACAACATTGAGCGTAGTAGTAAGCGGCGTGGCGACCGCTTAAACCACTACGCCAGCCGTGCATTCTAAAGTCAACCTTACCAATATCTTTACTAAATTATTTTGATTTAAAACAATAATTGAGTAAATTACATTTCATTGGTATTAAAACGTAAATCATTTATATATTTAATTGAATAAAATACCTACACAGAATGCCGTCCTTAGAACCTATTTATGGTCAAATCAACAACACAATAAAGTTGGTAAAAAACATGAAACTAATATAGAATAGTCCAGAGAAGGACTTTGTTTAATAATGATAATTAAAAGCGAATAATATGTGCAATTCCATGCGCATATTCGCGATGTTCCAAACAAGGACATGTCTTGTTTCCGCGTTGAATCATTGATCGTGCAGTACAAGTGATGTACGAGTAGCGCAGTATCAACTCTATAACTAACCGGTAAAAAAGTTCGAAATCTATAAAAAAAAAAAATATTCGTTGTTTAATCATCGTTATAAAATTACTGCAAAGATGAAAGATATTAAAATTTCTTTAATAACGGCTCTAAAAAGTTGTTGCTCTATTTGTAATTTTTTAAAGTATCTTGAACTCTAAACAATACCTAAATAAACTAGGGTTACCTAATATATCTAGTAATACGATATTGAATTGAACTACTATGTAATCGAACAAGATGAACAGTTGCTGGTAGACGGTAGGGCTCTTTTCGCGTTGAAACATCCTCGTTCAGTCAAGACGCTAGGGCGCTTCCAACTTACGGCTCGTATAAGTCATCGGAGGTCACGTTTGTCCAGCAATAGACGTCATGCACCTGAAATAATGATATAAAAAGAAAATATGTCATTTTTATGTATCTTGAACAAAATTATATTCACACATACATATTTTAATATTCTTTTTACTTAATTACGAATAAAACCTTGAACAAAGACAAATAAATTTAGTCAGTTGCATCCGCTTCCTCTTGTAAATTGTGTCTCTGTTCAAACACGCATACACAAATGCAACTGACTCACGTCGACCTTGAAATGGACCAGTCTAATCGTAGTTTTAGCCAATCAGTAGTCGGTCCACGATGCCCACTATCCTTTGTTTATCATCGACACGCCATGCCAAATGACCCTTTTGTTACTTTTCAACATTAATTGTACCTAGTTTCATTATTAGTAAATTAGCTATTGTTGAAGTGCTTTTCATTTGTGTTGTTACTCAAATCAATTTGATAATTACCTGTTGTTTTTGTCATTGGCTTTCATCATAAATACTGACTACCTTCAAATTTAGAAATGCCATTTTATCAATCGTCTTGACTATATTATAAACTCGCCCCAGGATCAGGGGGAGAAGGGCGAAAGAGCTCGAACCGGCCCATATATGCCGAAGCATGGCGATAAACAATATCCCTGCTCAACCAGTTTACCCATCTGTAAAAGCAATATCACTTTTCTTTTCATTGCCTTCCCTTCTCAACATTTTTTTTTTCTTTAAATATTTTCGGACATCTCACACCCAACGCCATCTAGTTTCAAACTAAGCAGAACTTACTTATATATTTTTTTGTTAATACATACATAGAAAAGACCCAAACTCCGAAACAAATATTTGCAAATCATACAAACATTTGATCCGGTCGGGGAATCGAGACATCGGCACAGGAGTCGCATACACCACCTCTAGACAGTAGTTCTTAACTACCTTTTTCTTTCAATTTACCTACTCCAGATTATTAATCTTGAATTTCTAAACTTCTAAAATTATATTATAGTAGGTAACAAATAAATATATGATTTCTGGATACGCCTCTGTCTTCGCGGCTTGAGTGTATAAGTGTACCTATGTACCAATGTCTTGAGTATTTTATTGTACCTACATCATACAACCCCGGTGTTACACACAAATATCTATTTACTTTTTAATTTGGTAATTTTTTCAGTATATATGTTTAAATTCGCATTTTATTTCAGTGTAACTGAATATACTGATAATGGTTAAATCAATGCAGTTTTTTTAGCAACGTGTAAATAAAATTAATAAAATTTCTTATATCTATCCTATTTAGAAAATAAAAATCGGACTTTGCTCGAACCCCTAAATATTTTCTACTAGCATTTTAGCCTAACTTACTCCTTATCAAAATCAGTCCTGTCGTTTCGAGGATAAGCCTGAACAAACAAACAGACATACAGACAAGCATTGAAAAACTGATTTGATCGTGCAAATAACCTTATGAGCCTAAAAAACTAATTATTTTGACATTACAAACAGACTTCAATTTTATATATTTGTATTGATTTCTCTTATAGTTGGAAGATAGCAATAAATCTCACATGTGCCACAATTAGGCGATCGCTCTTACGGTCCACAAATTATTCTCGCTTTCAAAACATATTAGCCACTCCGATTTACGTGGCAGCATCTCTAATATGCAATTACTTTTTAATTTACCATGCCATGGGAGTTCAACGATTCCATTAATTACAATATTAACATGTGAAGGTTCTGCATCAGTGCCACAGGTTCTGTTAACTTCAAATCATTAAGTACGAGAATTGCAGTGTGTGGTGTGCGCCATTTCTTTTCTATCGCTCGCCTTGAGATTCAAATCACTTTAATTTTATAATTTTAACTATTAACTGTTATTGTAAAACTATGTTACAAGCAAGCCTAATCGGACAATGGTACTGAATGAAACAGTAAAAAAAATACATTTTATTAAATAGGTTGGTCTAACCTCCTTTCTAAGGAGAGGCCTATGTCCAGCAGTGGACTGTTATAGGCTGTTGATGTGATGATGTGAGATTGGTCTAATATTATGTGACACTGTAATTTATTGCTTAATAATACCTAATGGGTTTGATGGCAATCGTTAAAAGTAGTTTTTAGAATCACTAATAATTATGTATGTTATTTCATTTTACACATATACGAGTACATATACATGTACATACAGTACAGTCGCATCTCTATCCCCGAAGGGGTGGACAATTGAGAATTACCTAAACACCCACGCATGCTATTATTTTAGTCCCATTCCCATAAAGTATGTTTCGGCAGATACTTGTAACTCTTGAGCTATAAGCATCCATGGGTGGTGGTAGTCACTTACTATCAGGTGACCAGTCTGCTCGTTTGACACTTATTCCGTTAAAAAATAAAGATATTATTAGTCAAAATTACTTTTGACTATTTAAGAACTTTGACTGCAACATGTACATATACTTATAAAATTGTATGGTGAATAAAACCAAGTGGGAAATTCCCCAACTTCCCCACTTCCCAACTTCCCCACTAACATTAAACTAATTAACTTTCATATTTATGATTATTTAATCAAGCCCTTTACTACCAATACTAAAGACTCAGACTGACTATAATAATTAAATGATAACACCATAAAGGTTGATTGAGATATTTTACTTTTTAATAATGGCAATCTCTTCTCGCCTCGTTAACAAATCAAATAATATAATTTGTACGCATTCGAATATAGCATTTATAAACTAGAATTTAAGTATGAAAATACGTTATCTATCTATCTCGTCTAGTCTATATATATATCTATCGAGTCTAAGTAATGAAGTTACGTTTATCGCATCGTTAAGCGCGCGTTGTTGTAAAACTCACCTATATAATATAAATTAAAAATAATAAAAATATAAAATTACTCATTTTCAAAGCGGAAGAATAGTGAAACTTATATACTTAGGAGTAACGTCATTAACCATATGGGTAGCAATAATTAGTAATTATTAATTAATAAGTATATTTTAACTATGAAGTGGATAATACAAACTTCATTTTGTTCAAATTACGTATTGAATAATTATTAAAAGACGGTAACAAATTCCATTCCATTTTAAAAAAAAACATGATCGCGCACATATGGGATAGCAACTTATGAGACTTAATACAAATATTTTAATGGGACTTCTAATATACACAATTTTATTTCGTAAGTAATAAATAATGTTAAAGTGTTAATCTAATTTAATTAATAATATTAATTTACAGTAAAAAAGAAATATATTATAATGCAATTAAAATATTTTCATAAATTTTATTTAGACTACAATTAAATCGAATTAAACGATAGATACGTCAGTTAATTCGATTTATTTATCACGATTTTAATTCACGTCGCAAATGTACGTAAACTTTCAAAAGAGAATTAATAACAGTTACCAAAGGTTGACGGCCCCGAGACGGATGTTATAGACAATGAACAGTTCTTACACTCTATGCTAATGGCCGCCATTTTTACGTTCGCAATTCATATGCTGATGCGTAATGATTTTTTACCATAAACCTTTACGGTTCTGCGTAACGCGCTCACGGGAAAATTACGCGGAATTATATTCTATGGTTTTAATAAAAGGTGTGGCCCAACTCTTTTTCACTAAAATTACAAACTTATCTGCCATACTTAGGTACCTCCGAGACGCATCACTATTGATTCTTAAGAAAATAAAAAAAAATTGTCAACTTTCCATCCACATACAATGCAAAACAAAATTTAATACGAGTACTACCTTGGGCAAACACACCGAACTACGGAGTAGCTAACTACTAATCCTGCATCGCGCATTGAAAGTTCTCAGGCCGTTGATTAATATATACAGATTCAAAACGTTGAGCAGCAGCGCGATAGGCATGAACACCTGACCTGGTCAGAGGATCCTCACGTTGTGTTAGAGGGACAGAAAAACCCGTTCCTCCATAGCTTAATGAAATGTAAAAAAACACATCACAAATTGCTAACTGAATTAAAAAGCAAGAAAATAGTACCTACATTAGATAAATAGGTTGCATCTGACACACAACGCCATCTAGTTTCAAACTAAGTAGAACTTGTACTATGAAACCTAGATCGACTAATAGAATACTTATATACTTTTTTTTCTCCTAAATACATATACAATAAAATAAATAAAAAATAAATTTGGGAAAAGGGTAGGAAGACGTTGATTAACTATTATTTATACCATTTATCAGTCAAATATCCATTTAAAAGTCTTCACGTACCCAATCATATTTTTAGCAATATTTTTAAGCTACGGATTACCTACCAATAATGTATTGAGCCGTATCTTTTAAACTATTCGTTTATAGCCTATATTTTTAAAAGTAAAGGCTCTTTGAAAGCTACAAATAACATTCTGATGTTCAATTAACAAAATGATTTTCATATAAGTTGTGGTATCCTTTCTCACAATTTGTAACAGACGGGTACTTGACAATATTTCTTCTCATGTCTTATTATTGCTTGTTAACAAATATTTTATAACTTGGTGTTTATGTATATTTCTAGCGGCAATCTTTTGATCCCTAATATGTAACCGATTATCATAAAAATTACAATTTGGTATTTAGTCACGTGTCAGATGATACTGCCATTTACCATTCTGACCCCGACGCGGATCGTCTTCACCAACTGATAACTGTCCCGCATTGGATCGATAAAATTTGAGAAAAGTAAAAATTGTCCCCTGTTGACCCTTTTAAATATGAATATCACTTACGAAAGCTTTTATTCCAATTAAAAGAAACGACCGTCCGACGACCCATCTGCTCACCTGCCCCCTCTTCATTAAAAAAAAAGTCAAATGTTAAAAAGTACAGAATAATGTAAGAGAGCTGATCTGGTCCATTGGAGAATACTGCTAAAATACACACATAAGTGCATACATTGCAAACATATAAGAAACATTTATAAAGTCAATATTCATTTAGTAACAAAATAAATACTAAATATTTCAAAAGCTTGTTAAAGTGTCGAAGAACCGAAGCCAAAACAACAATAAACCGAACATAACCGATAAATCGGTATCACTGACCGTTCAAGACATCAATCATCGGTACGAATCGATAAAGTGTGAAAAATACATTTAAATCGTAATTCGGCCCTTGGCCGACGGAACGTTGCGATATCGAAATCGGTTTGTATGAGTATATGAGGGTCAGGACGAGGTCTGATTATGAGCGGAGCACGAGGAAAATATATTTTGTATATTATGAATATATTAAAAATACGTGAAAATTAAACATGCAAAATAAAAATTCAGAAAATCTAGTTAATTTAACCATTATAATCACAGATTTGTGTGAGATACAGATTTGTGTGAGATATGTAAAGTTATTATTATTATCATTTACAATGTTATGCAAACTTGAATTGCTTCTAAACATCATTTTGCTTATGTGTGTTTTAATTATCAGACTACTTGAGATAGGCTTGTTTTCATTTTGACAATAACTGTACTAAATTTCACCAACCATCGAAATTATTAAAAAAAATCTCTGTAGGTATTAGATGTTCTCTGTTAAACCGATAACTACCTAATCCTCAAGTTCTCAATATACCTACTTAATTTTCAAGTTATTATCCAAAAAGAAAAGTTTCAATTTCCCGCTGTTTACCTCTCTCCGCTCGCTCTTCAATGCCCGCTTTTACTTGACACTGGGACCTAATCTCAAAACGTTTATGTGATTGGTGCTAACTCAAACATTTTATCGCCCACTATAAATAAGAACATTAATTAATATATTTGATAATTATTGCTAGAAATGAAAACACATCTATAAATCGTTAATGTTCAGTTCGACGACTTTTTGGTTCTATCAAAAGCATTCCGCGTACAGAAGTGAAAATAATGACTCATCATGTGTTTATTTTATTTTTACATTCATTGTTTACCGTTTTATAAATTATAGATAGAAAATTAAAGTCTTTCTGCACTCTCTTACTGCACGATGACTTGTTAATTTGAAGACTCTTTACTATACAAGTACCGCGTTCCACCAAACTTACAAGTCTTACTTGCGAGGAGACCGCGTGGTTTTAATACCTTCGATTCAACTTAAATATAAGCGTTAACTCCGGTGATGGGAAATACCCTGGGTGTTATCACATCCCCGCATATTCACTGTGAAAGGGTGGAGAATGATCACGAGTAGAAACGCGAACTTAGACTGTGGTAAACTTTTAGCATCTAGGTTATTTGCGACCTTAGTAGCTTATTTTATTACCTTATTAGCTTACTTTTATATTTTCATTTCTATATTTTCAGGTCTAGAACGGGTGGCGGAGGAGTTGATGGGTCGAAGAAAATGGAAACTATATCAGGACGCGTTAATTCCAAAACGGGGGGAGGGCGAACGCTCCAGCGACGAGGAATCTGTCCACACAGACCCTCCTCCCGCACTCAAAATCAAGACGATAGAACAGATCAACGAGGACGAGGCAAAGGACGAAAGATCCGAGCGGTCGGACCGAACGGAGCGGTCATCTGGACCCGACCGGTCAGAAATAACCGACCGCGCAGACGAGAAGCCCCGTCGTCCGGAGACGATATTGGAGTCGTTAATCAAAAGGCCCGCAACTCAACCCAAAATGGAGCTGTCAGAGGAACCTTCCGATTGGAAACCCCAGGACAAGTGCTACTTCTGTACGGATGGGGAGCCTGTTCCAGAAACGAGGGCAGGTGGCGCCACTGTAAGTACTAAATTATAGATACGTAAATATTGTCTTCTGTTTTTATTAAGTAAAGGCCACACTAATATTTTAAATATTGTAGGTACTACGCAAAAGTCTTTATACGTATTACAGGTGATCCGTCTGCTCATTTGCCCCTTTTACCACAAAAAAAGAGATTTTTAATTTCTTAAGACTATAGGACAGGCTTTTTAATATACTCGCGCAGAATTTAATTAACAACGTTCACAGAAATGCAATAAGCATTATCCCAATGACTCAGCCACCAAAAACCAAGTCACAATCAAAAACAGATGTGATCTGGCCTACATATCCTGATGACCACATCAGAATAGCATATACACGTGGACCGTACTGTACTAATACAAATCCATGAACTAGATTGAACACGGCCAGTGAACCAGATGTTCGTTACACATACAAACATACATGACGTAATTTACTAGACTTACTAGTTCTTGTAACTCACGGATACAATGTGTGTAGCGATACAAACATACATATATAAATACTGTTTTAATATATTGACGGGCCCCTTGGTTTAGTCACTAGACCTGATGGTTAGTGACTGCTGAGCCAAAGGTCGTGAGTTCGAATCCCATCCAAGACAAATGATTGTGACCAGCACGATCATTTTTTCTCTATCTGGGTGTAATGTATCTATAATATGTATATATTTAGAAATATATAAGTATGTTTATCAGCATCTGGTTATCATAGCATAGGCTCTGCCTAGTTTTGGGATCAAAGGCCGTGTGTGAGATATGACGACGTGTGTTACATACTTCCGTCCCTTTCACAAAATCAGTACCAAAGATTACAGAAGAGAGAGAAAAAAGATGTTACACTTCAAATACGGTAACACTATTATCAACTTATTTGGTCTTCAGATCAGTTTAAATCTGTAAAAGCACGGCTTTTGACATGTGCCTTTTGTGGGTAGGTACGTATAAATCGTCGAGACGGTTACGTTAAGGCTCGTATGCAGTCTTTTCTAAAATGATATTTATAATTCACGTGAAAATCAGTAACGGTGACAAAAGTAAATCTTTTTCTGTTTTAGTAAGTTCGATTTTCAAAATCACTTAGTGCCAGTCATGATATTGTTTGCCAGATATCAAGCTGACATATATTTTGTAGTATCTTATATTTAGCTCGGAAACGCCGATATCTGTTTGACGAAATGATCCTTAGCACAGTATAAAATATATTAAATTATATAATATTGTATACAATCAACAGCCTTAACGATGACGTAATTGACCTTTGACATGTCAATGACGCAATAGTGCATGAATTCTTGCGTGAGTCAAAATGACACGAAGCCTATTCACATTTGTGACTCATACTGCGTTTTGTTATTGCGATGTACTTCCTGCAATATATTTGTGTACCTAATAGCCATATTTTATCTGTCCTGTTCAAAGTTACCCCGATAAGTGGGTCAATGTTTACCTAACACGGGTGTCTTCAAAAACATTAATAATTGTGTTTTGAATTAATAACCAATCTTATAATATTTGTCTAATTGGATATCACTAAATATGAAATGATTTAATTAGTCTTATAAGTTTTGTGATTATCGGCATATATAAAAAAAATATCAGATGAGAATAACAGGAATTTAAAACTTTCTAATATTAATCATAAATAAACAAGAAGATGGTATATTAATATATAGAATTGAAAACATAGTAACTGTTTTTTTTTGTCCCATAGTTCACGGCCTTTTGCATCCAGCCCGTCATGGCTGCTTTCTTAAAGGCAATAGGCAGATAGAAAAAAATAAATGTTTTTAAGATAATTTAAATATACCTACCTAAGTTATATTTTTTAATACACCTCACGCACGGACACGGCTGTCTGATGCCGAACTAGAGATTTTTCTTTTTTTTTAAAAGACAACTTCCGCGTTAGGAATATATCCTGTGTCTCGGGAAAATTTACAAACATACCTGAAAAGGACACAAAGAACACCCAGACTCAGAACAATAATTTTTAGATCACACAGAGTGTCGTCCCATGTGGGAATCAAACCCACAACACTTAAACCACTACGCCATCCGTGCAGTCAAATCAGTGAATTTCAATATCCACAGATTATATGTGTATCCGTATCCACGTGTGACTTAAAATACATAGCTACATTGTACATTAATTGCTGCACCGCTTTCTTTCATTACCTACATAACATTCCGTCGAGATGAATGACAGACAAACACACAAGAGCACAAACAAAAAGCACAGATGCCATAAACAGACGCTAAGTGTGTAGTTTTCATTGTGTAAGTAATAATTTCGTTGTTATTGCCTGAGATTTTCCCAAGGGTACAATAGGTCCCAATAACTAAGTACCGTTAACATAATTGAATACCAAAACTAGTTATTTTTTGTCGTCTTTGTATTATATTTTATGATTAGTGAAGTGGGTTTGGACAGAAGTCTTGTTTAATTAGTACCAGTGCTACGAACAGCGGGAGTAAAATCATGTTTAAGTCCCCATCGGTGTATGGAAATTTAAACAAATTTTATAATACATAGAAACATATGTTAGAACTTCTACTTTTAAAGATTTTTATTGGGAAAAGGAAGTTTTTTTTTTTTCTATTCAAGTTTCATCAGTTAAGGACATACTAAACTTTATAACTTTTTGTAAAATGAATATCAAGCTGCACTCGTTCAGTATATAGGCGTAAGTTGTTATGGTAACTTATCCCGGTGCGTAACTCTACATAATAGAAATCTAAGTTACAGTGGCCATTAAATACGAGTATAGGTCAGTATATAATGGTCGAAATTCGATCACCAGGCGATGAGATTTACAACGTTGGTCAAAGACACAAGATAGAACAGTAATTACCGCATATGGTGTAGTGTATACGTTACGGTTACCTAATGCTAGAAGAGTATTTAAGCTTAGGTTTCTAACCTAGGTGTAATATGTAGTAAACCTAAGCGACCTAGACGAGTGTGAGAAAATCGCAAAATAAAAAAATATTTTAACTGTTCGGACATTACCTAAATATCTTGGACGATTCTAAATAAACCCGGGCAAACCTAGGTTTACTCCGCCTTATCCGTAACATATTAGAATTACCCGTAACATATATACTCATAAAACACAATATATTTTTATGTATGTAATGTAATGTAACTTCAGTCAATAAAATTCATTAAAAATTTAGATTGGAAATATGTATATCTGAAACTGGTTTAGAAATACATTAAAATTACTACCTACCTGCACATGCGGCAATCTGATAAACTTCAGTATTAAAAACCACTTCATTCGGGTAAATAATAAATATATGTTTTTCATGCATATTTTTATGGAGATACGTTATTACGTAATAACAGGTATTGATACTAGCTATCACATACTCATGCCACTAGATGCACCTGCGTTTTTAGTCACAGTTCACACAACTTAGATTAGTCCCCAAGTTGTAAGGTAAGTCCCCAAGACTTACTAATTTAGGTTGGTAAGGTTATTCTTTAAAAAATTATTTAAGCCTTTTGGTTTATTTATGAATGGAACAAGGTAGGAAAAAGTATCTGTTTTCTTATTGGACTTGTAGAATATATGATTAAGAACGAGGTTAAAACCCACATTTCTGGTGTTTCCTTACTTTAAATTGTTTCTATATCTAAACAAGTGACAATGAGTAAGTAAATATGAGTCTACAGATACTTTAAGTTTAATAGATAAATGTTTTTGGCAGCAGGGCTAAGATAAGAGAGCTTCTCGACTGAGAAAGAGTGACCAGGACAGTCAAAGTTCTATAAGTATGTGAGTTCTATAAGTAAAGTAAGAGTTTAAGGATAACCGCTTAATATAAGGGGGAACACGTCTTTGTTTACCATCTGAGTAACAAAACTTTTGTGTTTGATGTGTTTCTCTTAAAACTACTTTTTTTTTTAAGTCTGGGTGACTTTTTTTGAGAATATTTATCAGCCTTAAATCTAGCAGAAACAATTGTGTAGATGTCATGAACGAACCCGCGATATTTAGCTAGTAATAACAAATTGTCACAATAACAGGGATGAATGTATTTGTAATAATTCTAGTCACCGTCCGTAATTACACTTTATTGTAAAGCCAATAGCAATTATGTAGCCTGTCTAAACCAAGCAAAATAACAACCAGCTTCACTAGACATCCGCATTCCCATACAAGTCTCGTATTCTCCCACAATAACAAACAACAACAGAATAGGAATGGGTCAACTTATACAAGCCGTGCAAACCATAGTTTCAATTTAGAAAACAATGGCTTATCCATTTTCTACGATTCCACGTCAAAGTAGAGTTGGTATTTTGATTAATACGCGCGAAAGAGATGGGGTGCGTAAGCTTTACTAAACAAATGAAACTGGCCCTTCCATCTGTAGGTATAAAGTCGAATTTACCTTTTATGGTTGTGTTGTTACTGAAATAGTGAATGTGTAGGCGTAGAGCATGAAAAGTAGGCAGTGTAAGAACAGAGAGTTGAGTGGAGAGGATATTGTTGCTTTGTTTTCGAGTGTACTTTTTAAGGCATTTTTCAATGAAGGTAATTAAATTTATTCCCGTTTATTAAATTGCGGAATGCAGTCGTATTTTAACCCTACAACCTTATAATGACTTGTAAAATAACGAAATGTGCATAATTGACATTGAATTTAAATTAAACAGAACTGTGTTTGAACTTTATTTGTTGAATAAAATAACATGACATTTAAAATAATTTTAAATACGAATCAAGGGCTATTTCTTCCTTAGTAACAAACAATGTCTGTTTCAGTAAATGTAAACCAAAAAGTTTTAAAGAAATTGCACACTCACTTTAATTATGTCGACTTTGTGCATGCAACATTGCCATAAAAATTAACACGATTTTTTTTGAAAAGTATAAAACAAATGGTCCTTCTCACGTGCTGTATAACAATTATCGCAACCTGCAATTGTTTTGTTATTTAAAAGTATAAAGGCATCTTGTATAATTGCACAGGAAAAATGCT